TAGGGACGGCTAGCGCAGATAGCCCTCGTGTAGCTTTGCGCGAAATTCAAAAACAAACATAATGATATAATTAAAGTTAAATCCATTTTTGAGATTTCGACGACTTTGATTTCTTCAGAGTACCTATGCAAGTTGAGTAGCTTTATGCCATGTTGAAAGTGAATCTTCTAAGGTTAGTAAGTATCATATCCTTGATCTTCGATCTTCAAGAGACACCAGAAACATTTCTATGCGTATAAGTGTGTCCAAACATTTTTGCGGAACACACTTGAGAGGCATGAAGATGCCACAGTAACGAGATGGCAGTTGTAATGTAGATGGTTAAAGTAATCCATCGCTCTTTGTTTTTTTAGTTCTAGAGAATTCGAAAGTGATTCTATCATTTTCCGAAATTTTTAACCTTGAGAATTCATCTCTTTCTCGTGTGGATCAGATTTAATTCTTGGTTAAGAAATTATTTTTATTCGTAATATTTTACCTTTTACAATTAATAAATTCGGTTCTTCTTACATTCGCATTTAGCATACTAACTATTCATTCCATATTTAAATTTCTTATCAGTTAGAATATTCTGCATTTGCGTAGTATTTATATAAACGTTTAAGCTTTACAGTTGTGACTTTATTCATAACACTGCGTTTCTTGAAATTATAGATTTCATTTGCAGGCTAATAAATATAATTTTTCAAATTTTCAGATAAGAATAATATCAAGCTTTATAAATATGAGAATATTTGAACATTTGTTTTCTCAAACGTAAAACTGTCTAATTTATTAGAATGGGTTTTCCGAAAATATCGTATTAAAATAACAAGTTTTGTATCACTTGTATTTAAATTGAATGTGTTATAAATATGAAAGCTTCTCTTTCATATATCAATTTCAGTTTTGTAAGTTTTATCTATATAACAATGTATATAAATTCGCTGTTATCTAGCGTTTTTGGAAGTTTTGAAACAAGTCTTGCATATTAAAACAATTTGGTTTTCTTTATAACTTACACTTTTCATTGATTTATCCCAGGCTTCAGTTTAATATAAAAAAACAGAATTCAGCACTCTTCTTAAAATTTCAAGTTGTTGTAAAGAGAACAAAGTTTTTGGAAGTTAATAACGATACTTTTACACCCGGTGTGTGTGTACATATAAATATTTATGACCAATTGAATATATCAACTCCCTTTACTTCATGATGGGTGCTCATCACATAGTTTTATAATTCTCCCATTAGTAAATATGAATATTTGTTATTCATATTAAAAGTTTGAAATTCTTATAAAGTCATTTATCTCTTATCTTGTAATATTTTGGGTATCATTCATTTGCAGGCTAATACATATAATTTTTTGCTATATATCAACTCACCTTAATTCATGATGGGTGCTCATCACATAGTTTTATAATTCTCCCATTAATAAATATGAATATTTGTTATGATATACCAAGTAGTGAAATGTTCAGTGATAAAAATTAATCATAAATTGAAATCTGATTAAGTTCTTCTAAAATCATAAAGACTGTTTTTCTTATAGTAATTTTTATACGTTTTTTTTTCTAAAAAACCTTTAATGCTGTTTAAATGAACATACCATCAGTAGAAATTACTCATAGACTTTCATTTCTAAAGATGTTACTTTACTTTAGTTATATCTAATTAAATCGTTTGTTGTTGTTTTTTTTTTGGATAACAATGTGCCTTGAAACTTAGCATACATGTGCGACATTGAGTGATTCTCAAATCTCTATTGTATTCAATGTGTTATCTTTCACTTCCCCTCCAGGTTTAAGGAAAAGACTGGGAAGACAGTTTGAAATCTCCAAATCAATTTTCGAGTATGGGTGTGCCATCGTTCCCAAGAGTGTTAATTAAACATCGACAGCAAATGTTAAAACTTTGATGCTCATGGACCGAAGCTGTCAATATCGAGCACATTTCCATACACAGCGTTAATTGTAGCATAAAGTCCTCTCTATCGAGACTTCTAATTTCTTTGTGCTAGTATACTTCTCAGCCTACGAAGACGAACTGTGCTTAGAAAGGTGATGTCACGTTATTTTATTTCGTAAGGAACAATTCCTTTATTTCGTGGCTTTAGTAGAAAGATTATAGTTTACTATGATGCATAGACTTATATAACCCACCAAACATATCGTTAGTCTTCAAGTAAGTCCTAACAACAGCATATTGACTTTTTAAAAACGATGTAATATTCTAAAACTGAGAAATGACAACCCACGCTAACTTATATTATTATCTCCTAAAGCATGAACAAGAACAAAAAAAATGAATCCTAATGTTTAGAAATTAAATTGAGCTTCTGCATTTTGTAAGTATACTATATGGACTAGAAAACCTGTGTTTGTGAGAATATATTCAAATATAGGCGTCATGAGTGCGGTTGCCTTGTTTGTGAGAGCACTACTAAGCAGCGCCTTACTATGGCTTGTTATTTATGAACAGGGAATTAATGGAATGAAAGCTCACACGCAAGGAGCCATTATAATTGGCGGTCTTTTTCCTATTCATAAAAAAGGGACGAAAAGTAAATGTGGTCTGATCAACAAAGATCGTGGCATTCAAAGAACAGAGGCTATGTTGTTCGCAATCGATAGAATAAACGAAGATCCTAACATCCTGGGAAACATCAAACTGGGTGCAATCATCTTAGACACATGTTCCAGTGACAGCTACGCTCTAAACCAATCCTTGGAGTTCGTCAGAGCATCCATCAACACTGTGGACTCCACAGCCTTTCAGTGTCAAGATGGGAGCCATCCAAAGTTGAAATTCACCAACAAGGCAATCACTGGTGTGGTGGGTGGCTCGTACAGTGAAGTTTCTCTACAAGTTGCTAACCTTTTAAGGCTATTCAGAATACCTCAGGTTAGTCCAGCATCCACCGGTACCTCACTCAGTGACAAGACCAGATACGATTTCTTTGCTCGGACGGTTCCTCCGGATACTTTCCAGGCTGTAGCGCTAGTGGATATTGTTCAGAGTTTTAACTGGTCCTATGTCTCCCTAGTGTCTTCTGAAGGTCAATACGGCGACTCAGGAATGAAAGCTTTCCAGCAAGAAGCGCGTAGCAGAAACATCTGCATCGCAGTAAACGACAAGGTACCTCACTCAGCTACAAAAGCCATGTTTGACGAGATTTACAGGAACTTATTAACTAAATCTAATGCTAGAGGAGTAGTTCTCTTTACGAGGGCAGAGGACTCGCGAGGTATACTTGAGGCCATAAAAAGAGCCAATTCAACCGGCACATTTGCTTGGGTTGCCAGTGATGGCTGGGGAAAACAAGACAAGTTGGTTGAAGGAATTGAAGATGTAGCTGAAGGAGCAATTACTGTCGAGTTGCAATCGAAAAAAATAGAAGAGTTTGACTGGTACATGCAAAACCTGACCGCCTACAACAATCAAAGAAATCCTTGGTTTGAAGAATATTGGGAAGATGTGTTTTCATGTAAACTTCCTCATAACGTGATAAATAAAAACAATGCCACAGTCCCAGTATGTTCGCCCAACCTCAGATTAGATGAAAGCGTAGGTTATAAGCAAGAATCTAAAGTCCAGTTTGTTGTGGATGCTGTCTATGCTTTTGCCCATGCCCTCCACGGGGTCTGGTTTGAATTGTGTGCCCCATATGGGAAAGACTACTGCGCACAAATGAGAAATTTAGATGGTGGCGTCTTTTATCGGGATTATCTGCTTAATGTCTCCTTTATGGGTAAGTTATGCAGTCTTGCTCATTTTACTTGTTTTTTTATATTTTGTTTGTTAGTTTATATTTCAAAATTCAGTTTAAAGAAATAGAGTTACATGATAAATATAATATCGCTCAGATAGGGAAATCGTTTTTTCTTTTGATAAGAATAATATTTTACAAATTTCACGATCCTAACTAAGAAATAAATAAAAATATGATTGGAACAATATCCATAAACTGAAAGTATTTTAACAATATGAGACCACGTAACTTGTATTGAGTATATAGAGGTATTCTGATGGAATATCATTACTCGAAACAAAAATATTATTGAAGTTAACGGATACTTTATATTTCTTCTGAAAGTTTGAACTCGTTGAGCACGTACCATTTACTTTTGATGTAACTTAGATCATTAGATTTTTGTCTTTAAAATAGTAATACAAATATTTATAGTAAAGTTGAACATTTGTGATGAAACCTTCTTCTTTTTAGTAGTCTTAACATATCCAAGCTAGGTATAAAATAAATTAGAAATTGCATAAGTCATTAATGTCTGTACAACAAAATGAAATATTATTGTATCTATGCATGGATAATGTCTCACTTAAGTTCTGAAAAAACTTCTTTTTATACTTAACTGAAACTAAGTCATAAATCAAAATGTTTTATGGTTTTAACCTCATCAGGTGATAAAAGAATATTTTTAGCAACTCCGGAAGCGTCTCTGAAACATCTTGGTTTATAATTCAGTTTCAGTTATACAAGAAAAGCAGGAGGTTTGTTTGTTGTTTTTTTTCGAAAGTTTAAGGAAATATCTCTTTCATGCATAAAATGCTAGAAACAAACTTTAAAGCAACCTACCAAAATGTTTTGCGTAATCAACTGAGAACCAAAAAAACGCGTATTTAATGAATAGAAACTGACGTTGTGAATTGTATTTAATGATAAATATATTTTTAAGGTCCATGAATGCTACCATACACGTTTTTATTAGATAGCTCCTTACTAACACGAGACTTGAACAATGTTTTGAATTATTTATATCAGGATTTAGTGAGATAAGGTACTATACTACTCATTTATTAAAAGGTTACTTGATTACTTTATGCTTACCAGGTCACCAGAGTCACTTCTAAGAACATGTTAGTTATGTTCTCAGAATACTTTATGACAGCTTGCTCTGTAATTTCATACTTTTACCACGAATATTCTTATGACAAAAACTACCTTCATTGTTTTGTCGTAACGTTTATTTATGGTCTGTTGATGAGCTTGGATACCAATCGTCAGTTTTTTTTTTTACTCCCGAAAATTTGTCTAAAATTTGTTACATCATTTTTTAGCAAAAGTTTACATTGTAAGTTAATATTTTCTAGTTCTCGACCTACTGCCATTCTTAAAGTTTTAGCTTTTCTGAAATTATTGATTTGGTGGATTCCTGTCTACAAATATGTTCTAGACAGCCCTATTATTACACTTCAAAACCCGATGTTCTTAAAGTCATACGATAAGATAATGTATATTGTTTTGGCTTTCTACCATCACGCAGCAAATATATTTCTTTGAGCTCATAGAATGAACCAGTAAGATTGGTCTTTCTCTTATGATATATGGTGATCACACACACACACATACAAAGGGAAAAGCAACATAACCAATACTAATTTATTACAACGTTTATGGACAATCATTCCTCCTTAGGCTTCATTCACTTCAGAGCTACAGCGTGCTAAACGAGCGAAAATATAAAATAACGTTTGAATAGGTCTATAATAATAACTTAAATACCCACTGTTGTTTTTCGGCTCGCCCTGTTGTTTGTTTATTTGTTTGTTTTTTTGAATTTCTCACAAAGCTACATGAGGGCTATCTGCGCTAGCTGTCCCTAATTTAGCAGTATAAGACTAGAGGGAAGGCAGCTAGTCATCACCACACACCGCCAACTCTTGGGCTACTCTTTTACCAAAGAATAGTGGAATTAACCGTCACTTTATAACGCCCCCACAGCTGAAAGGGCAAGCCGCAGATTGCAAGTCGAGCGCCATAACCACTTGGCCATAAAAAATATTGTTTTGTTCTATTAACGCAACTCACGCGGTTATTTGAAAAAATCTTATCTGTCCTATACTATAAAATGAATAATATTTTTGGCATGAAAACTTTTGAAATACCTAGTAATGTCTAAAGCAATTTGAAAAAACTAAAAATTGCATCTTTCATCTGTATTTAGTGTGGTCTGCAGAAACACAAATACAAAGTATATGTGAAAGTGGAAATATTCTTCTGTTGCCCTTCAAGCTCTGGCTAGTACCGTCAATATTTTAAATATAACATCATTAGAACAGCATTTTCCACAAGTTGAGCATGATATAAATATCCTCACAAACAGTTGTATTTTGAATTTTATTCTTAGTCACCAAACCAATTTTTATAAACCTTCTTTATTCTTGAAAGGGGCTTCTCTCACACAAAGGTTTAGAAGTTTGTTCTTGATGTGAGAAAGGTATCTAAGTAAACATCTGTTTCATAGATTGCTCTTGTTGTGAACAAGGTATCTAAGTAAACATCTGTTTAATAGTTTGTTCTTGTTGTGAACAAGATATCTAAGTAAACATCTGTTTCATATTTTTTCTTGTTGTGAACAAGGTATCTAAGTAAACACCTGTTTAATAGCTAGTTGTGTGGAACGAATAGCCTGAAAGTATATACATTATATTTCTTCGAGTTGCATTGACTCATGTTCGTGTGTTTTCATTGCAGCCTATATATGAGCCCTAACTAATCATGCTCAGCTTTAAAATACATTACGACTATTGCCGCTAGCAACAAACCTCTAAAGTATAAATGAACAACGCAAAATAAGCTGCCAGACTGCTTTATAGATTTGAAATTCATAACTTCCGTACGTATTATTGCTTCGTGCTCCGAACCGGAAGTACCTGTTTCATATGATGACTATGAATTGTTCGTTACCTTGTTAGTTTGTGGAACTGGTAAATTATTGTTTTATTAACTGGTTATAATAATTCAACCCCCGACAAGCTTTATCTGTATTCTTTCTTCCTAAATCTTTTATGAAACGTCACAGAGTGCGCTTCTGTTTAGGATTATTACTTTGATGTAAACAGAAATTAGTACATTTCTAAGCAAAAACGAAATCTAACAGCTGATATGACATTTAGTGTTGCCATAAATCCAGTAAATATTTCATCGTAAAACTAATTTTAAGTAAATTAAATCATGGTAATGCTGCCAGAGTTGTGCTTTTAAATAAACTTGACCTTCTGAAAAGTTGAAAAGTTAATCGTGCCTAAAAACAAAATGCTTGCAACGCTGTAAATAAAAAATAAGTAAGTCAGCTTTTCGATCAAACTAATGCAATTTTCTTTGATTTCATTATTCAAACTTAAAGTATAGTTACTTGGAGAACTGAAGAAAAAAACCCTCCCCTTATATGAAGATATATTTATCAGCCTGTTTCATTCTAAATTTGGAAATCGATGTTTTTTTTAAACGAACATACATTTCCAATGTTCATTTCTTATTAATATTATAATATTATAAATTTTAGGTTTTCATTGTACATTCAATCTGGTAATTAATATTCCTTTACTAACTTTTATAAAAAGGAACAGTTCTTACACATACGAATTAATGTCAAATGAAAATCATTAATTAGGTGTATTTGTAGCAATATAATTATATTTTTGGAAACAATTTATGAGTGTGTATTTGATATGATACAATTATGAAGTCCCCCACTGAGTGAGCAGTAGGTTCACGGAGTTACGGCGCTAAAATCCGAGGTTCAATACTTCGCGGTGGACAGAAAGCAACTAGCCCATTATGTATCTTTTGCCCTCCGATGGCAAGACGTTAAGTCTGGGGTTTTATAACGCTAAAAATCTGGTATCGATACTCACGATAGGAACAGCACAACTATCCCATTCTGTGGCTTTGTGAATAATAGCCATCCGCCCCCCCCCCCCAATGGCACAGTGGTATGTCTGCGGACTTACAACGCTAGAATCCGGGTTTCGATATCCGTGGTGGGCAGAGCACAAATAGCCTATTGTGTAGCTTTGTGCTTAATTACAAACAAACAAATACCCATCCGACAAACAAGCAAAGCAATCATAAAAAATTGTCTGCATCTAATCAACATCACTATTTTTGTTGTAGTACGAGAAGCTTAGATGCACAATTTAGTATAAATACTCTAATTATCTCATTGTGTTAGTTTTGCTGCCAAAATCTCATCAATGTATAAAATCTTGTAAACAGCAGTAAACATGATTTTTTTGCAGTGACATTTCATAATTGTTTTAGTGGAAAAATCGAATTATAAGATATTCATTCATATCATGATATTATGTTTTTTCTGAAAAAAACTTTCTGGCTAAATGCATACGTATTAGAAGTATGTTTATGTTAGTAAAAAATGTGATTGCAGTTCCAAGTGGTAAAATACAGGATAATTGGTGTAAATGTTAGGAAAAATGAATTATAATCCCTTCAGGAAAAATGATTCATATTAAATAATGATATTCTAAATACATCACTGCAATAGAAAAAGTGAGATTATTAACCCTCATTATGACTATTTTGTTCACTCTATTACACGCCTTTGTCCATCTAGAAATAATTTACAGTAAAGTAAAGACTGATTGAAATGGGCTCACAATTCATACAAAAAGTATGAAACACCACTGCATGCATCCCAAGTAGGACCTCTCTGCTCTTACGTACACACACATGACAAGGAACAAAGTAGGACATCCACAGATTTCGGAAAGCACGATGTTCATTCAAACGAACTCAGCCATTGGAAATGGCTTACGTCTCAAAAATAAGATTTAGAGCCAAGACTCGACCAACTATTGAATTACGAAGAGGGAAGACGGAGATATCAGAGAATAGTATCTCGCACCCGATAATACTGACCGCCAAGATGAAGGATGCGTAATAACTGAAGAAAGCAGGAGGCTTATCGGATATAAACAGTCAAGAATGCAATA